ATCCATAGTGATCTGTTTGGCATGGAAATAGAAAGAAGTTAATCTGGCGGCTTTTAATGTTTATCCTGTCAGGTCTTGGCATTATGAACCTCTTGCATGATATTGATTTCTCCATGCATGTTTCATGTATTGTCCAGCCAATGTTACTCGGTTAACATGAAAATTCTTCACATAGTGGCCATGAAAAGTTCTACTCTGTTTTAACTTACGTCTTCATATATTGGTTTGTTGTGTTTGACAGAAACTTAATATGTCGAGTTGCCAGAACATTGGTCATATTGGTTTGTCTTCCCTTATAAGTGCTGCTGGATGTTTACAGCAACTCACCTTAGCATACAGCACTCCTGTAAGTGTTTGATCTTTCCCAGTCTCAAATGGTTCATTTACTCGATTTATTTCTTACAATATTGTGCTGCTCCTTGTTCAGGTCACTCTTGAAGTTGCTGATAGCTTGAAGAAACTTTCCATGTTGCAATCTATCAAGTTAGACGGCTGCCTGGTTACTTGTGAGGGACTGAAGGCTATTGGAGTTGGATGTGTCTCATTAAGGGAGCTGAGCCTAAGTAAATGTTCAGGGGTGACTGATGAAGGCCTCTCTTTTGTGGTAACAAAGCATAGAGAACTGAAGAAACTAGACATCACATGTTGTCGGAAACTAACTGATGTTTCCGTTGCTCACATTTCAAATTCATGCACTGGCCTCACTTCCCTGAAGATGGAAACATGCACCCTGGTTAGCAGAGAAGCCTTTGTCCTTATTGGACGGAGATGCCATTTTCTTGAGGAGCTTGACCTAACAGATAATGAAATTGATGACGAAGGTTTTCCTTTACTCAAATGTATGGAAGCTAGCCAGGACTACTGCATCAGTTCCTGTACTTATGTTTCTTCTTCTTTTGCAGGTCTGAAGTCCATCTCCAGATGTTCCAGACTTTCCACCTTAAAACTAGGAATATGCTTAAATATAACCGATGAGGGGTTGATTCACATTGGCATGTTCTGTTCAAAACTTCGTGAGATTGATCTCTACAGGTTTTCATTCAAAACCCTCAATTCAAATTGTCCTTATTAGTTATTGAGGTGATTGAACCAACAACTGACAATAAATATCTACTTCCTTGTGGTTACCTTTCCAGATCTGTAGGAATAACAGATTTAGGTATCTCAGCAGTTGCTCGGGGTTGCCCTAGACTTGAGGTGATAAATATAGCCTACTGTAAGGACATTACTGATAGGTCCTTGATATCAATGTCAAAATGCCTGCGGTTGAAAACTCTTGAAAGTCGAGGCTGCCCTCTCATCACTTCTTTAGGCTTGACAGTGATTGCTGTGGGATGTAGGCAACTTACTAAGCTCGACATAAAGAAGTGTCACAATATAGATGACGCTGGGATGCTTCCGCTCGCTCACTTCTCACAAAACTCAGACAGGTGCAGTGATACTTGTTCACTTTGATACTTTTTAGCTTTGTTAACCAGATAGAAAGCAAAGATGTAGAGGTTGATTCTCTCTTTTCTTTGCAGATTAATTTGTCTCATAGCTCAGTAACAGATGTGGGACTCTTATCACTGGCTAGCATCAGCTGTCTACAAAGCATTACTATCTTGAACCTAAAGGGCTTGACTCCAGGTGGACTGGCAGCTGCATTGTTGGCGTGTGGAGCATTAACAAAAGTGAAAGCTCCAGGCCTCTTTCAAATCATTGCTCCCTGTCCAACTTCTTGAGCATTTGGAAGCACGTGGTTGTACATTTCAGTGGAGGGATAATGTATTTCGGGTATGTATGTGCTCACCCACATCATCTCGTATCTTTTGATGTGTTTGCTTTTTTCTTTTTCTTTTCTTCTTTTTGCATTTTTTATCTAGGGGGTGGGGGCAAGGGAGGGGGGATCTTGGGGATAATAAATAAAACTATAAAGGGTGGGGGCAAGGGAGGGGGGAACTTAGGGATAATAAATAAAACTCTTGCACTGTACAGAGAACGAAATTACTGGTCCATGCCAGGATGATAGCCTTAAATTTCTAGATGATTTCTCTATTTCTTACACTTTTCATATTAAGGATAAAAAAGTATATTTGCCCAGATACTCCATCCAACCAAGAGAGTAAAACCACTCACTTTCAAAAACTGCTGGAAAGCTCCTAAGAGAGTCCCAAAAAGTGTAATCATTTCCTGGTCAAAATGCTAGGTGGAGAAGTAATTGCAAGTTGAGCCTGATCATTCGGATCCGTCAATTTAGTATATGATCACACATAATTGCTTATGGGACTGACAAAACGATTTGATGGACAGGCTGAGTTGGATGTCAAGTGCTGGAAAATGCAGTTGGAAGATGTTGCGCAGTAGAGAGATTCTAAAGGTGTTATATGCTGAGGCCAGAAGGTCCTGTTCTCTCTTGCCGGCTAAAGTAGATTCCCGCTCTGAATCAGGCAAAGTCTGTGGAATTTTGAGAGTTTAAGATGACCTTCATGTTTCCTTTATTTGATTCAATAGATTGATGGATAAAGTAGGTTAGCCTGTTAAGATTGTCTTTGTAGAAACACGCTTGTATTTTGAAAGTTTCCGTGAAATGTGTCCAAGAACTAATGGAGACAGGTTTCTTCAGACATAACTGAATTAGTTTTAGAATATGTCCATATCATACATCAAATTGAGTCAGCAGGAAATAGGAATATCAGCCTTGTAATATCAGAAAACGGAAGTTTGTAAAGGAAAGTTTTTATTTTGTTTGCGACGAGGCTTCCACTAACTTCCTGTTTCTGGGTTTTATTTTATATGATTTGCAGCGAATATTGGAGGTGAATAATTCAAGCCAGCCGTAGAAGTTCTCTGGGTCTTTTTAATAGAAACAATAGGATCATATATAAAGGCTTAATTGTAGAAAAAACTCTCTCACTTTTTTTATTCTTTTCAATTTGGTTTTCTAATCTCTCAATTGTTTGTGTTTAGATTTTAAAATAAAAAGGGGTTTGTTTAATTGTTGGTATTTTTCATGGAAAGTTTCTGGTTATTTTGAATATTTGATAATTATATAAACAAGTACATTTTCAACTAAAGAAAATTCTCTTTTTAAGATTTTACTTAGAAAGGAGAAAAAAGGGGCATTAAAATATCTATTCTTTTTAATTGGAAATAAAACACAAAAGAGTGAAAGACCAGAGATATTAAAATTATTTCTTATTTTGTTTGTGGGGGTAGGTTGGAGATTGTAAAATTGGAATGTTTTGGTAGGTTGAGATTATGATATTTTATTTTTTAAAAATTGTAAATCATTATATGTGTTTTAATCACTAGAAAAAAAGAACATAAATGGTTTCTTGCTTAACTAGCAGAATTCTTCAAATAAAGATTTTGAGATTATACACAACAATTGGCTGTTTATCCTTGAATTGGCCGGAAAGAACAATTTCCATGACTTATCATCAGAGATTAAGTTGTTGCAGCTCAGCTAGAAGAAATCAAATCAAACTTCATATGGATATTGAGAGCCAAAAGAGTTCAACTTCATACTCAATCGCATCTTACAATTGAAAAAGCTTGCAGTTTAAATCGAGTCAGCGTGAAGCTCTTCTTACTTCTCTGTCAAATCCTTAAATCATGCACAGGCATAATACTGCCTGTAGTTTATGTTTTGTCTTTCTATTTTTATCACTTTATCTAGTGTAGTTGATTTTGTTAATGATATAATTGAGAGTAGACAAAAAATAACTTCTATAAAGTTTTGTAGAACTTTGTTTTTACTCAAAAAGATGGTACATTCTCTCTCAACAAATTCAAACTTTTCTAAATAGAATAAGTCAAAAGGTGAGAAGATTGCATATCCATTCTTCAACTTTTTTCTCCAAATTTCGATTTATAGGACTAAAGAATATATCAAACTGCCTCGCGGATTTTTCATTATCATGACTCAAACAAGTCTTGAATAATGGCGTAGAAATTAGCAGTTCAGAAAAGAAACAACAATATAATATAAAGGAGAGCACAAGAATCTTTTTTCCCTATAGGAAGCAAAATTTGTCACTGATCTATTACATTTTGAAGATAAACATACGTGTACAAAGGTATTGACAGTAAGAGCCTAATTGGATCCACAAAACCTGCTCTACATGACTACTTAAAATGGTTAGGGCATTAGTTCATGTTAACAAACACCATTCTATCACTCCTGAGTAGTTGTATGGTCCCTTGTTGGGCTACTATGTTACAAGAGTATTTAGTAATCTCTGCTTCTCAATAATTCTAAAATCACGGAACTTCCTAACTCACTTCTTTTGTAAAGTAACCATACAGAAGAAAGCTACAAAACGACTAATTATGCCAAAAAGCACGAGGACGAACAGACAAAGGTGCCAATCATCAAGATCATAGCCACTTTGCATCAATGAACTACAACGTGTTATCAACCATACTCCAGAATACCTAGAGAATATAAAAAAAAATAGTTATATCAATTGTGAGTAGATCATGCTGTCATAATAGCATTCTTTTTTCCTCAGACATTTAAGGATTTTCTGAGATCAAATAGCTTCACCTCCTTAACCTGGAACAAAACCTGGACTATGGTTCAGCTTCTGTGATAAACCAGATGCAGCATAAAGTTTAATTGCTGGTTAAGTTTAATGTCTTGGCATCATTTATAATGCAACAGGACCATCAGATAAGGAAGTATCTTGTGCAAACTTAGTACTCAACTCTTATTCCATGCACATGCACAAATGCATGGTTATCTCCACAAGTACTTTACAGCATTCTGTGCCAAGCAGACTAATTTTCGGTCATGTTATATTCATTTTAAAACCTGGTTTTACAGGACTCTAAGTTAGAATACCTTTTTGTTTGATTCATTCTTTTGTTCTTCTTTCTTTTTAATATCTCTTTACAATGGTGCGTGTATCACACAACAGCATAGGTTAGATCTTTGCTAACATAGTATCTATGTATTCTCTAGATTCATTTTTCAAGTAGAAAAGTAATCGAACTAGGTACTGACCTCTGAGCATTCGCAATGATAAAGGCTTCTAGAGCCCACTTGGTGTAGCAAAAGTTTCCCAAAAAGTTTGTAATTCCGTTATCTTTGTCCTGGATTGCAATGAGAGTCAAAACAACAGGTAAAAGCACCGACCACTGCGTGACAAAATTAAGGTATCTCGTCAGTGAGGAAATTATTGAAGAAATAGTCGATGTGTATGATGTGTTATTTATATCTTCAAGGGCATACCAGTTGTGCAGGACTAGGGTCAAGCCAGATGGCAAATATATAGGCTACGCCTGTCACACAGTACACAAGGCAAAGCAAAACAAGATAGTTGTCTATGAAGGATGATCGAGGGTTGTTGAAGAAATAGAACATGGACATATAGAACAGAGGTTTGACAAGTGTATTGAAGTGGTCGAGTGTATCTTTGGATAGAAAATAAGCTGAACTGCTGATACCAGCGGCACTTTCTCTCCAGTAGTGTAGTTTGTCCAGAGAAAATGACCTTAACGCTCCAATCTTGCATAGTAGTGCTGCAAAGTCACAGTTTATTTAGATAAAAGGAGAAAGGACACAGAGAATCAAAACATTTAATACAGAGGATACATATAAGAAGTCTAGCATAATCTCATCAGTTTTACGAAAATACTTATTTATAGAGGTTGAAAATTTATGAAACGTTTTTGGAGGCTTATGAGAGGCAAAGTAACACCATTCAGTCCCATTAGCCATGGTAACAGAAAGCAAGTTTAACACAGAACTAACATATTTACTGAGTTTGTGCAGTTCAACTTACAAACAGCAATGACTGTGTAAGTGTAGCCAAGGGACCCAATTGTCTCATCGCTTACTTTAGCAAGAGTTCCTAAGCATGCTCCTGCAACTAATAGAATCAAATAATCGAGTACTTGAACTCTAGCTTCTCGCAATCGCTGCTTCCCAACCCTGCAACAGTTTTTTCTAAGAATAGTCATTTTGTGCAAATACAAAAGTTAATTGTAGTTTCCACTGAAAGAAACCAAGTTCACCAACTCCAAATATATTTCAAGTTTTGATACCCAGAAAGACCAGTTTAACTAATATATATTCTTCTCATACTATACTTGAAGAACATTAACTGGTTAAGTGTTATCAAAATTCTGCTGAACATAGCCTATGAAACTAGAGAGATAATGTTGCATCTCGTAATGTTGGCAACTAGAAAGATATCCAGAAAGGACCTGGAAAGCATATACGGAGCATACATATAAAGCTGGGTACAGAAACGAGCGGTTTCCAACATTGTCTTTATATCCTCTAACAGATACGGTTGAAAATAAATGCAAGACTTATTAGTGCTCATAGAATGAGAAACTTGAAGATTCAAAAAGGAATAGAAAAAGAAAGGATTATGCATTAACACATAAATAGATGAGGATTAAAAACAAGAAACCTGTAGCTATAGAGGTGGAAGATTTCTAGTATTGACCGAGGTCGAAGATTTCAACAGGTTGAAAATGTTTTATCCTCTTTTATTAATTTTGCTTCACCTTTCGAAACTCAAAAGTCAAGTTTTCACCAAGTGGGGGAGAATGATGCAAATTATAAAGCTCCTAAAATGGATATACTTCAATAATAAAAATATGAGGCAAAATTAATAAAAGGGTATAAAACATTTTTGAAAATCAACTAAAAGGAATATGAAATTTAATTTTCTTTCTACCTTTTTAGAAAGTATTATAATAAAGGAATATAGGAAGATTTATTTCCTATTTCCTTAGTTTTTTCTATTTAACTTATTTTTTAATTTATTAAATTTTCTGTTTTTAATGTGTTTGGTACCTATAAATAAGTTACCTGATTTAGTTATTAAGAAAACTAATCATGTTGATTATTCAAATTCTGAAATATCTTTTTGATAATTGAGATAGGAGATCTATTAATTTGTTTTTTAATAATGTTTATCTAATTTTTATTTTTAAGTTCTTTTTTTCCTACATGATATAGTTACACTTACTTGTTTTACCAAGTATTGGTTCATTTGCTTTTAATAATCTCCAATAAATAGATAAGCTTCAATTTAACACTGCTATGAAATAGGAAAGAGCTCTTGCCATTGTACCTTCCAAGAAAATATCTGTACTGACGGGCAAAACCTGGAGTTCTTCGATTGGATAAATCCGCAGATTTTACGAAGTTATGCTTTATGTGATCTCGCTTTAACTCAACATTACACTTGACATCCGCCCATAAATCTGCACCAAATGACTGTCCCATAGCTCCCGTACTAGGATTTGTTGCATCATTTGTATTTGACCGGTTGGAGGATGTAGCAATTCCATCACAATACTGCAGCATATCATGTGGTACAGGGTATCCATTATGCAACATCCATCTAACAGGAAGTTGTTGAGTTGACAGACCTCCACTTGGCTTAACAATTCCTTCCAGGATGTCAATGTAGTGATCTGGAGGATTAACACGCTCAGGTACTGTAATTCCAAGGCCAGCAAAGTATTCTTCGACTTTCTTCACAGACCCATGATACACGGTAAGACCACCTTTTGCTAGTAGTATCAAGTCATCAAACATCTTGTATAAGGTATAGCTGGATCAAGGAAGTTAATTATTACCTTTGAGAAAACATATAATGAACACTTAAAAAGTATAACATACATATCATTGAAAGATATTTTGCTCCGTCACTCAAGGCTACCAACATTATAGTGTCGATATGCACTTAAATTGGCTACCATCATGTTCTGTTTCATTTGGGGAAAAAAGAAATTTTTTATCTAAATCTTTACTCTCTTCATATGTTTTACTGCCAAGAAGAATTAACTTGTCCACCAGAAGGAATCGGTTACAACTATTTTACCACTAACAGAGTGTAAATGAAAGAAACTAAATTGGCAAAGCAAGGAATTTTGTAAAATTAAATGAGACTGTAACTTGACATGAATCTATACCGAGAGAAACAAGACGCAAAAGATCAATAAGCATTTCCCTTTCACAATCATTCAATCAAAAGGAAGTTTATTTGTTCTTTTCTAAAATATTTAATTCAAAGGAATTGAATAATATCATTTCCATTGAATTCTACATGCTATGCATGAGTTAGTACCACAGATCTTGAATCAGTCATATTAACTGTAGTGCTTCTATCTGTTTTTCTCTCTCTTTCCCATCTGCTTCTTTTACAATTCATGAAGCTCTCTGATGTGCTGACCTAAAATCAAGAAAGGGATGTAACTTTAAAATGCAAGATATGCAGAACTCATTTAACTAATAAGCTTCTTCCTTCCTCATACTTCTCTCTGATAAGTACATAAGATAATACAGTTAATACAACATTGGAAAAATTATCATATTGAAGTTTGACATTTATTTCAGTTTGGTCCTTTTTTTATGATTTAGTCCGTAATTTTTTTTTTTTTTATTTCAAACACCTAATTTTCTTTTATTTTATAACAAAAAAAGTTAAAATTGTTAAACTATCTTTAGATACTTCAAAAAATAACTTAAAAAACTGATTTTGACTAATTAATTAAACTAATAAGTCAATAAAATGTTAGATTTATTTTCTATTGTTATTAATTTATTAATTTAATTAATTATTCAATATTATTTTTTTCACATATTTCTTAAAGTGTCCAAACATGACTATAAAATTTTAAATTGTAATAAAAAACATTAGAAATCAAAATTGTAACAAGTGTCAAACTTTTAAAACTAATTTGATAATTTACCATATAATATATAATACAGTCTAATTGTTCTAATAAAGTATTCTACGTCATTTTTTATGATCTTTTAAGAGTGTTCGCTATATATTATATTTTGTCCTTGAGTAATCCATCAACACGTGACATCCCAAGCCACTATTTGCAACGTCTATAAGGGAGGACGGTTTATCATTTTTTTGTCTTAAGGTATCATTTCTCTGTTAAGAAAAATTGTCAGCTAGTACTTCTTGAGAGAAACTGAGAAGGCATACCTTGGTTGGTGAAGAACCATGCAGATGTTTACTCCTTCAAGAGCTTCCCTTCGAAGTGCTCTAAGAAGTAACTGGGAAGATGCACTGTCTAAACCAGATGTTGGTTCATCCAAGATCAAGAGTGATGGTTCCATGACCATTTCTAGTCCAACATTTACACGTTTCTTCTGGCCTCCAGAAATTCCTCTTCTTTCAACTGTGCCAACAAGGGAATCCCTCACTGCCTGTAGCCCCAAGCACTCAATTACTCTTTCAATAACCAGAACTTTATCAGCTTTAGGCATGTCAGCAGATAGTCTCCAGTTTACGAAATCCAATACAAAATAACTATTAGAATTGGAACTGATAGAAAATAAATATATAAAAATAAATATAGATGCAGTCATGCAGAATTTATAAGCAGGTTGAGGCTACTAAATGGGACAAACAACAAATATTTGAAGAAAGTGCAAAAAACATAGCTGGGGGTGGGGAGATTTTTTAGTCAGAAGGGTAATAGCTAACATGTAACACTCTTGTCAGATCAAGTAGATTGTACATAGCAGAGAACAAGAAACTGACAATTAAATGCATTATACTTTTGAAGAATGGGTAATAGCTGATAGCCAAAATCAAAGTAATATCAAACATACACAATGCCATGAGACACATTTGATTTTCTCCAGCAATAATGAAGATCAGTAGTGTGCGTTGTAAGATAATAGAGCACTTAATCAATTTCTTTCTTCATCAGGGAACATCAAGATTGTGTATGAGATGTCTTTAAATTAAACGAGGGTGTGCCAACTACTCAGCTAGCTTGAGAAAAATGAATAAGAGTTCTTTCTTTTCCAGAAAAAAAAGTTGAGCCTGGAACAGTAAAAATATCCTTGTTATGTCAAAATTTTAAGGCCCCAGATGCTCAGCATTCATGGAGACTAAAAAATTGAAAATTTCAAGAGCAGCATACAATTAGTTAAATTATTCCTGTTCAAATAATCAACACCAAGTAATATCACTTTGATTATCAGACTGTTAAACAGTTTATCAAGGATCCAGGAATTGCCTTTTGAGTTTAATATCTGAAATTGACTATGTCATTCTGCATGTAACTTATTAGATATACAACTTTCTAAGGCAACTATTATCTTTTACCATAATCCTACAAGATTATTCTAATTACGTTTCATTAATTACAAAATGTAGATTGATGGTAAAATTGACAGGATCATGATTCAAACATAACTTTGTGAAAGCAAATATACACAGCCACACAGGCATGATTTGGTAGAAGTTTATGCACTCAAGTCTTTTCATTTAATATAAATTCTTCACTTGGTCTAGCTATGCTTACTTTTAAAGTGAATAAAATCAATTGAGTAGAAATATGTAGTTCCTAGTGAAAGCAACAAGAGTCAAGTTTTTTGGCTTATAAGTGATAACAAGGATTTCCAAGAGACCAGGTTGATATTAAGAATAACTTGAATAAAGATATATCCTCATCTAATATGAACAGTGATGTTGTTGCAGAACATTTAACTTGCATGAAATCTAGATATAGTTTACCTGCACCTTGCGCTGAACCGGAGATTCTCCTCTACCGTCAAGTTTCCATGCACTATATCATCTTGTGGCACAAAACCAATAATTTTCTTGTATGAGTGTATTGATTCATTTTTTCCATTTATAAGAATTAAACCAGTACTTGTACATCCAGTAGCTTTTCCTGCCAAAGCAG